GTAGAGTGGAATTAATACGTCACGTGTAGACAACTTGTAATTCTACAAACGTTGTAGAACAGTTCCCAGCATCTGCCACCATAAGCTACTCATCCTGGTAGCAGTTGATGTTTAGAAATATACAGAGAGCCACAGGTCATTTACTGAATACCCTGGCTAGGAGATCCTCGACACATTTTTTTTTTTTCAGCATCTCTCCCAAATCCCAGGGAGACTGTGGTAGTGCCGTGAAATGAGACCTTCGTAGAGCAAAAATAGACCCTTCATTCTGGACTACTTGTTTGGGCAGTTAGGCCAATCTACAGAGAAGAGCAACTACTGTGTTCTGAAAATGCCAAACATTTAGAGAGGCGCACATGTTTCTTGCTAATGTTTTATTTTTCTTTATTTATTTGCATCCCGCCTTCATTATTTTTACAAATGACTCAAGGCAGCAAACATATCTCAACACATCTTCCTCTTCCTATTTTCCTCACAACAACAACCCTGTGAGGTGAGGGAGAGGGATTGGCCCAAAGTCACCCATTTGGCTTTCGTGCCTAAGGTGGGACTAGAACTCCCAGTCCTTTGGTGATTGGCCCAAAGTCACCCAGCTGGCTTCATGCCCAAGGCAAGACTAGAACTCACAGTCTCCTGGTGATTGCCCAAAGTCATCCAGCTAGCTTTCATGCCTAAGGTGGGACTTGAACTCACATTTTTCCCACTTTCTAACCTGGTGCCTTAAACACTAGGCCAGCGGTCTTCAAACGTGGCCCTTTTATGACTTGTGGACTTCAACTCCCAGAATTCCTCAGCCAGCCTCCATTTTGTTTGTTAGATTTAAGACAGGGGTCTTCAAACTTGGCCCTTTTATGACTTGTGGACTTCAACTCCCAGAATTCCTCAGCCAGCATGCTTGGCTAAGGAATTCTGGGAGTTGAAGTCCACAAGTCATAAAAGGGCCAAGTTTGAAGGCCCCTGTATTAGACCATCCAATGCCTTGCCATGATTTTGACTCCTTTTCCTGGAGAATGAAGAAGACATAAATATTTCCACCCAGCGAAGAGAAAGTAGATAGCTATGCTTTCATTATAAAGGATAAATTTGGACTTCTGTGCTGCCAATGGAATTTGGCAAGAAGATGGGAAGAAGAATTGGCAAACGCAACACCGCCTTTGGGGACTGAGCACTGGATAGATCCCACCACCCCTTTTATGCATAGGAATAAATCTTCAGGCTGGAGAGAACTTCATTCAAATAATACCATTAAGACTGCAGAGAGTGGAAGCCGTTTCCTATGTGCAAAACCTTGCACTTTTTCTGAGTGAATGATTTTTATCGGACTGTCTTGATTGTGTTGTTCCTTTTTAAGCTGCTTTGGATTGCTTTTAAGTAGAGAAGCCAGTCAAAACTCTTTAAGCGGAAGGAGTAAAACTTAATTCCAGTTGTCCCCACAGAGTTTCAAAACGTAATGCCAAGGTAAATATGGGAAAGGTGGCCAGTTGAAGTATGAAATGTATCTCCCCACTGTGGCTTTGGCATGTGGTCAGTCATTTGGAGGGGCTTAGAAATATTTGTGTTTGCTAATGTATAAATGACTTTGCCTCCGAACATTGTTGTGCTTTAATTCATCTGGAGGAGGAAAAAAATGAAAGAGTTGGAATGGAGAAAGCAAGGAAGAAAAATGGTTGCAGTTCTGAAAGGCTTCCAAGATTGTGCTGCATGTAAATTTTAAAAATGGGCCTGAGATTGGAGATAGAAAGGAAACAGTATATTTCCTAAGCTACTTGAAGGCAAGGAGGGGAGAGAAATTAGTTCCATTCTTGTTTCAGTGCAAATGTACTCAATCCATATTAGCCAATTTATACATCAGCTTTCCTCAAACAGACATTGCATCTATTCTATTGCAGGGAGAGGCAACCTTGGCTCTTTTATGACTCGTGGACTTCAACTCCCAGAATTCCTGACTCATAAAAGAGCCGAGTCATAAAAGAACCGAGGTTGCCTACCCCTGATTTAATTGGGATAACTTCGCCCAGAATCATAGCCCTATACAGCAGTGTTTCTCAACCTTGACCATTTTAAGGCATGTGGACTTCAACTCCCAGAATTAGAAACACTGCTATACAGTATCTGGAAGGCATCCAGCTGGAGAAAATGGGAACACACCTATAGGTTGTTATAATTTGTTTCCCAAAAATAGAATAACCGAGTTGGAAGGGACCTTAGAGGTCATCTAGTCCAAACCCCTGCTCAGGCAGGAAACCCTATACCATTTCAGACAAATGGCTGTCCAATCTCTTCCTAAAACCTCCAGTGTTGGAGCATCCACAGCTTCTGGAGGCAGGTTGTTCCACTGGTTAATTGTCCTCACTGTCAGGAAATTTCTCCTTAGTTCTAGGTTGCTTCTCTCCTTGATTAGTTTCCATCCATTATCTCTTGCCCTGTCCTCAGATGCTTTGGAACTAGGTCGACCCCTTGTTCTCCGTGACAGCCCTTCTGTCAACTCTCAAACAATCTTGGCTGCAGCCATCTTCACTTCGTTTTCAGTTGCCACAGTAACAGGAGAGGGGGAGATGTGTTCTTTTAGTTTAGACGTAACAATAACTTTCCTGTGGGAACCAAGGTCAATCTACCTGTTTTGGCGTTTCACATTGCAGGGGTGGGAAGTTCAACTTGTTACTTTTGAGCCTGGTGGGGGGGAGGGAACTTTTAGTCTTGATTTCACCTTTGTTTGTGCCGATACTACGTAGCCATTAAATGTGTTCTTTGAGGAAAGCAATTGCCTCGGAGTTCGTATTTCTACAGGTCTCATCTATCAGAACCATGACATTCTCAAATATTGGAAAGACTGCTATCATGTCACCCCCTAGTCCTTTCCTTACGTAATGATGCAGTTTGATCAAATGTTATTATGCAGCTTTCAAGTAAAAAAAAACAATTATGTAGCTTGTACAAATGCAGAATGGGTATGGTCATTTCAGTACTGAGTTCAAATTTTAACAAGAGAATAAATAATTTTGATCAGTCGGACGCTATATATATGAAGCCACATATGAGCTTCATACTAGGCTAAGGTTGGACCTAATCTTATTGCCTGTTGACTAAGTTCTTTTAACAGTTGGAGTTTTGCAAGAATACCTGTGTGGTTTACCAATAAATCGGAGGAGCAAAACAAGTGTGGTTTATCATTACACCACAACCTGGACCAGGCAGTCTTTCAAACAGAGAACAATCCTTGGTAAAATTGATGACATGGACCATGTCACGAAGGGAAGAGCTGATCAAATTAAATGTGTGAACTCATGCATTTAAGCATGGGACTTGTTTAGAACTTATCCTAGAAATACAAAGCAAAGAGGTCAATAGATCACCGAGCAAGTGTTGACAGAATAAGGTGCAAGGTAATTGGAGAACCTGCATTAATTTGCATACCAGATAAGCCAGGTTCTTTGGGGAAATAAGCACAGTATTTGACTTGTAACCATGACGGTGAGGATTGCAAAAATGTAATTGTTACAATAGGGTTGTTAGATGTATACGTGCCACAAATGTCAAGACGGTGGCCACCACAGCTTGAGTGAAGCCCCACCTCTTTTTTACATGTAACACATATCAAAAGGAGACAGGACTTTCGGGGTATTATCTTGATTTCTTTGGCAACTGTAGTATCTCACTGCCCGGCAGTTCCCTTATTTTACAGTAATAATGTACGTGCACGTGGATAATGCAGAAGCAGATGAGCAATAAGGTCAAACTGTGATCTTTTCTCTTTTCTAAAAAAAAGCAGATAATAGAGCATTGGAATGTGTTGTTTCTTGGATGGCTGGTCTGTTTAATAAGAGAGCTTCGGCAGACTTGAATCCACCAGGGGTAGGCAACCTTGGCTCTTTTATGACTCGTGGACTTCAACTCCCAGAATTCCTCAGTCAGCATGGCTCAGCTTGTAAACCTCTCCCTTTCCCCTCAGCACGGCTGGCTCAGGAATTCTGGGAGTTGAAGTCCACGAGTCATAAAAGAGCCGAGGTTGCCTACCCTTGCTCTAGACCAGGGGTTGGCAACCTTGGCTCTTTTATGATTCGTGGACTTCAGCTCCCAGAATTCCTGAGCCAGCATGGCTCAGCTTGGAAACCTCTCCCTTTCCCCTCAGTAGGCTGTCTCAGGAATTCTGGGAGTTGAAGTCCACCAGTCATAAAAGAGCCAAGATTGCCTACTCCTGAATCCACTCACCCAGTGAGGCTATCTTGGGGAGGCTATTAAGAGACTTTCCCTATCTGAGGTGAGGGAGACACGGACAAGATGGCCGGCCTTCTCTGAGGTGGCCCCCACAGCTAGGAGCATTCAGAGGTCCTTAAAGCTCGCTCCCTTTTCAGAAAACCTTCCAATATAATTTTATTTCATTGGGTTCAGTTTTATTGACTTCCATCCCGGGGGACATGGATATATTAACATTTTTTTTATTTTTTTTAATTTTTTGCTAATGTTGATTCATTCCTGTTGTTCACAGCTTCCTTTACCATGTTGTAACCTGCTCGTAGTCTTTTCCTTAGCTGTGCTACTCCCTTTTATTCTATTGGCTTTTGAAAGCCAATAGAATAGACTCTCTTGAATAGAGTCTAATTCTATTGGCTTTCAAAAGCCAATAGGAATGGTCCAGGCTGTCTCTGCTCTGCTGAGCCCGCCAAATGTCCCATTCTGCAAACGGTGCTGCACCAGTTGAGTAGTCCTCGATTTACGACCGGTTGAGTAGTCCTCGACTTACGACCGGTTGGGGGGTCGCGGCATTAAAAAGGTTGAGAACCACTGACTTAGATCAAGGGCCGTCTTGGCAAGTCTTCCGTAACACGACTGCAACTTTTAAACTCTCCTTCATCGTTCCTCACAATGGCAACTGTAGGTGTCTATAGAAAATGTAAAGGGATGGGTGGGTGGGAGAAGAAAACATTTGAAATGTGCTTGATTTGAGGTTATTCCAACCTGCTTTACTTTCTCTTTCCCTCTCTGTTGTCTGTTGTTTCCAGATGCATCATCCCATTCAGATGAAACCTGCAGATAGTGAAAAGTCCAACGGTAGGTGATAAAAAGAATTTCTTATACCTAAATATATATTTGTTCATCCATTTCCTACCCCGCTGCCCTCATAGAAGACCCTTAGAGTGCTCACAGTAATAAGCCAAACACAAAAGTCAAACCAAAAAGCTTACCAATGAATTTAAACACCCCAGAAACAATACATGGTGTCAGCTATTGAGAACTCTGTTTTCCAGAAGGCCAATACCAGTAGTCCTCAACTTACAACCGTTAATTTAGTGACCGTTTGAAGTTACAAAGGCACTGAAAAAAAAGCGACTGGTGACTTTTTTTTCACACTTACGACTGTTGCTTACATAATAACTGCAGGGATTCACTTAACAAATGAGCCGAGGTGGCGCAGCAGTTAGAGTGCAGTACTGCAGGCCACTTTAGCTGACTGTGTTCAGCAGGTCAGCGGTTCAAATCTCACCGGCTCAAGGTTGACTCAGCCTTCCATCCTTCCGGGGTAGGTAAAATGAGGACCCAGATTGTTGGGGGCAATGTAAATATATATATATATACATTGCTTACTGGTGTACACCACTTAGAGCAGTGGTTCTCAACCTTTCTAATGCCGCGACCCCATAATACAGTTCCCCATGTTGTGGTGACCCCCCAATCACTTATACATCACCGGGTGCCAGGGGTGTGGCCAAAGAAAAGGGTGAAAAAATGGCGGACAGCCTTGTTTGGCGACCCCGGTGAAATGGTCGTTCGACCCCAAATGGGGTCCCGACCCACAGGTTGAGAACCACTGGCTTAGAGAGTGCTTGCACTTAAAACGGTATATAAGTCTCATAAATAAATAAATAAATAAATGTGGCAAGGAAAAGCGGTCGAATGGGGCAACTGCCTCGCTTAGCAACGTGAATTTTGGGGCTCAGTTGCGGTTGTAGGTCAAGGACTCTCTGTATAAAGGGGCCTTGATACTTACAGTTTTGCTGAGAGAAAAGAGAAGAGGTTAAAGTCAAAAGAAACCTCCCTGTTCCTTCAGCTGTGAAAACGTATCTATTCCCCCAATGGAAGAATTGCTCGCCGTGGCTTTTTTTCCAGGATGTGTCTTTAATCCTCATTCATTATTAATCAGGGCAAAAGCCGTGCACTTGGAGATTTAAATACCTGCAAATGTAAATGATGGCTGGGCCATGTCTCTCTCCCTCCCTCTCTCTCTGTCTCTCTGCAGAGATAGGCAAGTTTCATTTTGTTCCTTTAAAAAAAAAACACACACACAACCCTGTTTTGGAGAGGTGAGGTCCTCATTACCATGCATCCTGATGTCTCGGTTCTCCGTGGATCCCCGCAAAGCTCAGAAAAGAGCACAAACTGCGCTTGGCTTTGACATTCTTAAAAGGAGTGCTTATGTGACCACAGAAAACACCACGACGAAACAGGCCTGGACTAAAACGGTCAGACCTGCCCCGGTCTGATCTCCTAGGAAAGTAAAATTCTCAATTCCCTTTGACTGAAGTGAAAAAGTACTTCTACTAAGACAGGGGTAGGCAACCTTGGCTCTTTTATGACTCGTGGACTTCAACTCCCAGAGTTCCTGAGCCGGCATGGCTCAGCATGGAAACCTCTCTCTTTCTCCTCAGCATATCAGGCTGAGGAATTCTGGGAGTTGAAGTCCACGAGTCATAGAAGAGCCAAGGTTGCCTACCCCTGACCTATATCAGGGGTGGGGAACAATGGCCCCTTCATGACTCGTGGACTTCAACTCCCAGAATTCCTGAGCCGGCATGGCTAAGCATGGAAACCTCTCCCTTTCCCCTCAGGATGGCTGGCTCAGGAATTCTGGGAGTTGAAGTCCACCAGTCATAAAAGAGCCAAGATTGCCTACCCCTGGACTAAGAGATGCTGATTGGGGTAGGGTCAGGCGGAATCGGAAGTTCCCGCCCATCAGTACGAAACTAACCCACACAAAAGATAAATCCTATAATAATAATAATAATAGTAAAGTTGGAAGGGACCTTGGAGGTCATCTAGTCCAACCCCCTGCTCAGGCAGGAAACCCTGGTGATTTACTCCCTCTTGAGGATTTTCCTCAACAACAGGTTGCCCCCAGCCCTCGTTTGCCCCCAGCCCTCCCCCCCATAGTCCATCCTTGGGTAGCCAATGTGGCACCTGCCAAGATGTTTTGAGAAGAGCTGAGGTGTTAAGGCAGGTGAAATCCCATTCTCAGGATACGCGGCCTTGAAGATGCTGCCATGGACCAGATTCCAAAATGCTCTGTTCTTCCTCAACTGTCAATCTCCCCCCCCCCATCCCAATTTCCCACCATAAAGGTATACAGCTTTATTGCCCAGTTGATGGCGGGATGCCAGCGAAGCGCCAAGCCTTTGGCTGACACCCCTTCACAAAAGAAGGCCTTGTCAAAACAAAAGTTTTCTTGAACAGAGGAAGCCACAATAGATCAACTTGCAAGCTAAAGAGATCTTATGGGTTAAAGAATAACCCTTGCACCACACCATTGGGGTTCTGAGACTTATGGCCATTTTTCACACTTATGACCATTGCAACATCCCCATGGTCACAGGATCGAAATTCAGACCTTTGGCAACTGACACATATTTATAACGGTTGCGATGTCCCCGGATCACGTAATCCATCTTTTGGGGCCTTCTGACAAGCAAAATCAATCAGATTCACTTAATAACCGTGTTATAACACCTGCAGGGATTTACTTAAGAACTGTGGCAAGAAAAGTCATCAAATGGGGCAAAACTCACTTAACAACTGTTTTTCTCAGCAACAGAAGTTTTGGGCTTAATTTTGATCGTAAAGTCGAGGACTATCTATAGTCAGTTTTTAATCCTGGTTTCCTGAATTTTCAGTTATATTCAGAATCCAAAAGAAAATAGCTTTCCAAATGGGCTAAGTAACTTTCAAAAGTGGCCTTTTTGTTTATTTTTTGCTTTTTTCTTGAAGAAATAGTCCAAATGAAAAAAAAAAATCAGGTTTTCTTCTGTTCTAAAATACCAGCTAAGGTTTGTCATCTTTCAGCCTGCATTTTTGTAAACCAGCTACAAGTCGACCGACACCCTAAGAAAATATAAAATATTGAAATGGAAATTCATCCATTTATATATATGTGATTTTGACCATTCAAATTTAGTGCAGATTGTGTACAATCGATTTCTACAAGGGATCCTTTGGCTTTTTAAAACCTCTTATTGTTAACATCTTTTGAAAATTTATTATGTTTGAATGATTCTCTTTGCTGATTTCTCTGGGGGATAGGCGCAGACTGCAAGCCATATACCTACAATTCAAGTGAAATTAAAAATTAATTTATCTGCATTTGCTTGATCCTGTGCTCAAACAGTTAGGTATTTAAATCTACTTGAAAATTAGAGGATTGATATCAGATAGCTGTTATGTAAAAAAGGAAGAGTTAAGAACTTTCCCATAAATGAAAGCATTGTCTATTTCAAAATATACTTTTCACAGACGAAAAAAGAAAGAAAGCAACAGGGGTTGGAGGAGAAAGGAAAAAAATCCTTAATCCTATTTTACCTAAAAGCTTCCTGCCCCCTTTTTTATACTCTTGCAATCTGCCATAGTCTACCTGGATGCAATGTTGCCTGAATTAATTAAAAACTTCCCCTGTCGTGTATTAATGCTAACATATGGCATTTAATTACTGCTACCAACTCAGCACTTTGTTCTTTCAAAATTTCCAATCTTTTCTTCCAAGTTTCTGCAAAGTCAGAGAACAGCTGCCCTGCTGGTCTTTCTTAATGTCCTTTTTCTATGAGTCATGAGTTTTCTCTTGAGTTGTTTACAAGCCACCAGACAGTGTAGCTGTTATTTGATACCACTGTAAAGTTTTGGAGATACTCTCATAAAATCAGTTGTAGAAGAGCTTTGCTAATCCCAAAGAGCCAGGGATTAGAAATGGGTGGTTTTGTTAGGTGCAAGAAGTCTGAACAAAAGTTCAAAAGATTGATTGGTCATGCCTATACATAAGAATCTAGTCAACTAAAATTCAGTACTAAATTGGCACCAGATAAGGGTCAAAGGAATTCAAGAGGATTTGACTTACGCATTTGTGGGAACATAACGATTCTAGGCTAGTGACTCATTTAATGCTGCCCCTAGCTCTGCTTAATCTTCTCCTATAGCAGACATGTCAAACACAAGGCCCATAGGCCGGATGCAACCCGTGAAGTGGTTTCATGTGGCCCACGAAGCCATCCTGGAAACAGTGAGGGAACGGCCCCCGCTGCCTTGGCCCCGGCCCAGGGCGGCCGGGAGCCAATGTACAGTTTTGTGATGGCCATCTATGCTGAAACACATTTAGTCTTAGCTCCACAAGGCTGTCTGGAAACAGCGAGGAACCAGCCCCTGCCACATCGGCCCCTCCCCCTGGGTGCGTGCTGGGGAGGTGTCACCCTTTGTGAGGAATGAAGAAATGCACCATCGTCTGAAAGTGGCCAGCAAATGGCCCTTGCCTACTTCACATATCCGGCTTGATGGGCTCTGGGGCAGGGGTTTTGGCAGGCAGTGGGGCGCTTTCCTCACAGCGTCGAGAGGCTGAGCCAGGCAGCGCAAATCCAAAAAGAAGCGTGAGGCCGCCCAACTCCCAGCCTGCCCGGTTTCGGCAGGCAGCAAGGCGCTCTCCTCATAGCGCCAAGAGCTGAGCCGGGTGATGCGAAACTGATGAGAAGTGCAATGCTGCCTAGCCCCCAGTCTGCCCAGTTTCAGTAGGCAGCAAGGTGCAAAGCTGGTGAACTTCGCACTGCCCGGTTCAACCTCTCGGCACTGTGAGGAGAGCGCCCTGCTGCCTGCCGAAACCACACCCACCCCACTCCATCCATGCCCACCCAGTAGGCTGCACCCACTCTGGCCACACACACCCATACCCTTGAGGGAAACCGCAATACTGATGCGGCCCTCAATGAAATTGAGTTTGACACCCCTGTCCTATAGATTCTTTGCCAATGTTTTTAACCCCTCCCCACCCAGGTAATTTGGAGGCAGGTTCTGACCAGATGGACACACAAGTAGTCCTTGACTTACAACAGTTCATTTAGTGACCGTTCAAAGTTACAGTGGCACTGAAAAAAGCGACTTATGACTGTTTTTCACAGTTACGAACTTTGCCGCATCCCCATCAAAATTCAGATGCTTGGCAACTGGTTCTTATTTATGACAGTTGCACTGTCCCTGGATGATGTGATCTCCTTTTGCGACCTTCTGACAAGCAAAGTCAATGGGGAAGCCAAATTCACTTAACAACCAGGTTACTAGCTTATCAACTGCAGGGATTCACTTAACAGCTGAGGCAAGAAAGGTCATAAAAATGGGGCAAAACTCCCTTAAATGTCTCATTTAACAAGAGAAGTTTCGGGCTTAATTCTGGTCGTAGGTCGAGGACTACCCGTATTTCTCCCCAAATCACAAAGCTGCCACATCCTCCATCGCAATGTTTATGAGAACCGTATGGAATTTAGAAAACAAAATAATGTATTGTTCAGGTATAAGCTGAATTCAGGCTGTTTTTTTTTTCAAAAAAAAAATAATTTGGGTTAAAATATTTTACAAAGATTTTTTTAAAAAACTACAGAAACATAAAAAAGCAGAAAAAGAAAAAAAATTGTCAAAGGGTAAAAGGAAAAGCGAAGGATAACAAAAAGGAAAGAAAAAGACATTGAAAGAAGCAACTTCTGAAGACATTTGCAGCATTCGGGGATTAATATTTTCAAAACCTTGAGAGTTCATGAAGAATAAAAGTAAAGACTCCCTCAAATCAAACTGAAGTGATAACTTCATAGACATGAAGCTTTCCTGGCAACAAGATGATCCTTTTCTGGAATATTTGTTCAATGTCTCAAACTGTCCTACAGCCCTGGATTTGCTGGTTTGTCCTTGCTTACCTTTGTAAGATCAAGGTTGGCAAGGTTGAGACTCTAGAACAGGGGCGTCAAACTCAATTTCACTGAGGGCTGCATCAGCATTGTGGTTGCCCTTGGGGGGCTGGGTGGGTGTGGCCAGAGTGGGTGCAGCCTACTGGGTGGGCGTGGATGGAGTGGGTGTGGCCTACTGGGTGGCCGTGGCCAGTTCTACATCATTCGCGTCAAGGAGGCCTGTGGGGGCCTGGGCAGGACTGGGACAGATCTGAGGGTCTCTGGCAGAAGGGGGTGGGACCGGGGCAAGTGCCAAGGCATGGTCCACCGGGGCAAGTGTCAAGATGGCCACCACAAAATTGTACATTGGCTCCCAGCTGGCCTGGGCCAGGGCCAAGGCAGCGGGGGCCGTTCCCTCACTGTTTCCAGGATGGCTTCACGGGCCACATGAAACCACTTCGCAGACCGCATCCGGCCCCCAGGCCTTGTGTTTGACATGTCTGCTCTAGAAAGAGTGCAAAGAAGAGCAACAAAGATGATGAGGGGATTGGAGGCTAAAACATATAAGGAACGGTTGCTGGAATTGGGTATGTCTAGTCTAATGAAGAGAAGGACGAGGGGGGACATGATAGCAGAGTTCCAATATCTCAGGGGCTGCCCCAAAGAAGAGGGAATCAAGCTATTCTCCAAAGCGCCTGAAGGCAGGACAAGAAACAACAAATGGAAAATAACCAAAGAGAGAACCAGCCTAGAACTGACAGTTAGAACAATTAACCAGTGGAACAACCTGCCTCCAGAAGCGGTGAATGCTCCAACATGGGAAGTCTTTAAGAAGAGACTGGACAGCCATTTGTCCGAAATGCTATAGGGTTTCCTGTCTGAGCAGGTAGCTGGACTAGATGACCTCCAAAGTCCCTTCCAACATCATCATCATCATCATCATCATCATTATTATTATTATTATTATACTTTCACCTAGTTTTCTTGGGTTAGGGTTAGGGTTAGAAAAAGGGTTGAGGACTGACCTTATGGCTTAGCCATTATTTAGAATAGAATATTTTTATTGTCACTGTGTAACTCACAGTGAAATTAAGATTGAAATTATATACCCAGCTTGGTGTTGTTCAATTATGTTTCCCGGATCCCTTAAATGTCTTAGTCAGTGAATCTGACTACAGTTCAGGCCAATGAGAATTATAATCTAAGATTGAGAAATCATGGTTGTAATACCAGATCAATAGGAGGGTTAAAATATAAGTATACTTGAAGTATACTTCATTGTCTGAAGTATAATGGCCTTGGGGTTAACTGCTATGTTTCCCAGACCAAGGAATGCTAGTTAAAAATCAGGGTCTCCTTGTTCACATACGAAGAATTTAAAACATTATGTCAGATTAAAGTATTGGTTGGTTGTTTTCCTTCACTGAAAACAAATGAAACATTTTTGTTTACTGAAGAAAATTAATTTGCAGGCCTAAATACTACCAACTGTTTCCAACTGATCCTTCAGCTGCCTTTGTAAACCAGACATATATTGAGGTTTGTTTTGTTTTTTTAGTTCTGAGTCAGTTCTTTGGATGTTTAATTTACTATGAGATCAGCCTCCAGCTAAAAAACTGTGAAATCGTTTTAGTTAATTTGCCCTATTTATCAGTTTACTGGTGGAACTTGAGCAGGCCAAGAAGGAATCTGCCATTGATAGCAGTTTTGGAAAATTAAGGACAAAACCCTTGCATTTTTGTTCCACAGGGTGAAACAAAACAGCTTTACATGTAAACAGGCCTGAAATTTTAAAAAAAAGAAAGGAAGCGGAATTGCAAATTATTCCTTGACTTTTCCTGCTCCTCTTCTACAAACATACACTTTTAATAGAATTTATCACAAGGCTTGTTCTGTTTAGGCAAATTGTTTACCTTTGAAGTATAGGTTAGGGCTGAGTGGTGAGTTGAATTACACACACAAAAAAAAACCTCTTGGTGTTATTTAACACAGTAACATGTTTACCAAGCTGTAACTATGGGGCTCAAGTCATTTTCCTCTGAAGTGAGTGAATTTTAATAGATATTCTGATGGCACTATGTGTATTGCACGGGCAGAAATATCCTTTCTGATCCATAACAGCTGCTCACAATAGGGAAAGCATGTAAATATACAGGGGACAAGCAGGTAGTTTGCTATGTGTTTACTATATGAGAAGCACGGTGCATGGTAATTAGTACAAGGCTGTAATTTAGTAGTGTTTGGTAAGGTGACCAACCGTCCTCCTTTAGGGAGGACAGTCCTCCTTTTGTAAGTTCTGCCCTCCCTCGAAAAGTGTCCTCCTACATGTCCTCCTTTTCGATATTTGAAGACTAATCTGCAGGGCTTTTTTTTTTCTCATAGAACGCTCAGAACGGCGTTCCGGCACCTTTTTTTGATGGTTTTTTTTTTCAACTTTTGCATGAGCTGTGCTACTCCCCCTATTGGCTTTCGAAAGCCAATAGGAATTGCTGCTGAGCACGCCAAAACACCCGGCTGGCAAACTTTGCACATGCAAGTCGTCTGTATTATTGTTGCAATGAATAAAATGTTTCTTTTATTTACGATGTTTTTTTCTTCAATTTATTTGTGTCCTCCTTTTCATTGCTAAAAAAGTTGGTCACCTTATGTTTGGACACATGGAAGTTTGAAGTGTTACACAAAATGACACCACAGATGCTGGCACTAATCCACCTTCTAACTCTTCCCAATTTTCATGATATCCAAAGGAGACCAATATCTTCATTCACTAGAAAGTTCGCGTGTGTTGGGAACTATATTACAGAGCTATTAAAGCTGTCCTGTCCTGTAACTTTCTCCTATCCTACAAACCGTAGAGGGAATGAAAATGAATATCAGGAAGCCAGATCAGTGGAGGAAACTACATCTTGTATGTGGTTTTGAAGACCTCGCATAGTCGGACAAACATCCAAACAAGAGTTTTGTCCAGACGTGTTTATGTCATGTTGTTCCTGGACTGTACATGTGATTATGGTATTACAATGACTTGTTTTACAATGGACAGTCTTCTGTCTGAAAGGACCACCTTTTATGAAAAGGGAAATTCACTGACAATGGGATTTTCCCATATATTTATCTGTGATCCAGAAACAACTCCTAACGAAAAGCTGTCACCATCTTTTTCCTTAGAAAATGGCTAAGAATATATCCTTAACAGTAGTTTTCAGCCATGACTCAAAGCATATCTAACCCTGACTCTAACCCTAGATTCATTTTCATTGGCACTGGGATTCTCCCATAAATTTATCTGTGATCCAGAAACAACTCCAAACGAAAAACTGTCACCGTCTCCTTCCTTAAAAAAAAACCTGCTTTGGGATTCCGCTAAGCCATTTCATTTTGAGCATTTGGGCATCACTTTTGTTCCTGATTTTTCTTTCATATAGGCATAGGCAAGGCGGGGCGAGATTGTAGGTAAGTTAGAACAGACTCACTCTTTGGTCCTACTCGCCAACATTTAGCCTTGAATACTAGGTAGGTTTTCTGTTTCAACAGTGACACGAGAGGTAGAAAAACTAACTGCCTTTCCCCCCAGTCTATAAATTGTCCAAAATAGCAAACGTGGGTGTAAGAAGAACAAGTGATACCGAAATCAATGGGAACGCTCTCCAGAGGAAAGGCAGGTGATTCAGGAAAGTGTTGTTTGTTGTGTGAAATGTTTTCCACCTGCCTTGTCACCAGGGACAGTGCCATGCTCACAACTCTTGTTGCTTGCTTTTGATGTGGTAATAAGCATTGTTCGCAGTTGAGGAAAGTGCAAAAGAGAGAGAAAGATGCCTTTTGCCGTTGTGGATATTATTAGTATTATTATTTTAATCTTCTAGCTGTGGAAGACAGAAAATTGTTCATAGGAATGGTTTCGAAGAAGTGTAATGAGAACGATATCAGAGTGATGTTTTCTCCATTTGGCCAGATAGAAGAATGCCGAATCCTTCGGGGACCAGACGGACTCAGCAGAGGTGAGCATACACCGTCTTATAAGGCCCTCTTGTTTTAAAAGGCGAGGTAGAGTTGGGGGGGGGGATGTAGTAGATGGGGTGGGGGAAACAGAACTGTTTGATCAAGATCAAGGTTAAGCTCAGGTGCCCTGGGACAAGCCCTTTTTTATAGAACTTCAGCAGAATTTTATTCAAGGTCTACAGAAATTCTATTGAGTCCTCTCTCCCAATGTTTAGCCAATCAGTTCTGGATGGAGGGGTGGGCAGTAGTTAATATTCATATACCTTGCATTTCCCTGTGGGTTGTTTCCCCTCTTTCTCTTCAACCCAGACTTTCCAAAGAAGAGTTAAAAGACAGGTTTTGTTTTCCCTCTTGTGTGTATCCCCAAGTCCAGGAATTCAGCTTTCTTGATAGGAATTGGAAATAAGAGTAGGTCCTTAAAGTATTTGTTTTCTGAATTTGTTCCCCTGCCCTGTTGACCTCCACATTTCAATATAGCTCTGTCTGCTGGCTGCACATCTTCATCAGATCCCCCCTGGCCCTGAGTATTGCTTCTTGATCACACCTGAGAAAGATGCAATATTTGAAACTAATCTTTAGGTGTTTCAAATGGGCAACACAGTTGAAGATTTGTAACTAGGGAGAGCAAAGGACCACTTGTTGTGCAAGCACATCTTGGATAGTACAGCCTGGTCCTGACCCTAGATTTTCAGGAAAAAAAAATATATAGGTGACTCTCAAGGGCTGATTTTGTGCAGATCTGAAGTTTGAAGAGACTGGGAAGAACCTTCTGTGGGTGACTGTGTGAAGGTTCTCAATATGTATGATTAACAACTCACATCTCACTAAGTTGTTCATTCAGCCTTATTCCCAATTTTTTGAACAAGATTATTACAACTGTAGCTACCTATTCACATTTAGTCTGTTAGAAAACCAAGGCCATATTCCCTATCTAGGGTAAGGTTCCTGCAGAGATAGTTTACACACACACACACAAACACACACACACACACACACAGAGAGAGAGAGAGAGAGAGAGAGAGAGAGAGAGAGAGAGAGAAGCTATCTTTCCTCCAAGAACTCAAGCTGACACATGCAATTCTTTCTCCATGTTTATACATTTTCTTCCAATCCTCTGCTTTCATCCTTGCAACGCCCCTTCTGTAAATTAGGCTGAGAGAAGTCATCCAGGGAATTTAATGATTAAGTAGGGATAAGGCCTATCAAAGCCCTAACCGGGCTCAGGAAATAACCCACAAAGAATATTTGCTACAATAAACATTTAAAACCCAGTGAATATTGACATTTACCGCTTTAAGGCTGTATACGCTGAGAGAGAAATGATCCTGACATTTTTACTGGTGAGTGTTGATGCTCTATGGGAGAACAACACAGATTTGATCATTTACAGCACAGAAATGCAACCAGCAGGGGTTCAATGTAGCTTCAGAAGCCTTCTAAAGGTAATCAATTCAGGACTGTTACTTTCCCCTTTAGTAACCAAGATGATAAGAAAGCAAGGGGGGGGGAGAGAAGAGAGAGAGAGGTGGAGAGAGAGATAAAAATATTGACAGATCCATCTTTCACAGACTACCCAGCCCAATATCATCACCACACCTTAATTAGATTATCCCCAAGGATAATCCAATAAAATTTCTACATTCCTAGTTTTTAAGGAAGAGAGATGCAGAACAGGGTCATGTCTCAAAATCTTCTTAAGACTCACTGGTTTTAAATGAAAGTACATTCCTGTATTTACAAGGAAGTCTGCACATTTAATTTAAAAAAAAAAATCTGGCCTCCTTATGAACAACACTCTGACGAATTATTTAAATTATTTTGCAGATAAATGTTTATTTCTGATTTATTCTGCTTTAGTTGACATGAGTCAAGACATTTTGACCACTGGCAACCCACCTTTGCTCCTTTCTGCCTTTTCATTCATTAGAGATAACAGAATAACAGAGTTGGAAGGGACCTTGGAGGTCTTCTAGTCCAACCCCCTGCAGTTTCCTAGTCCTTATTAGCACGATAGATTTGAATACGTCCAGACATAAGGACTAGAAACCCAAAAAGCTGAAATTTAATAAATGCTATGCTGTGTTCCATGCTTATGATAACCATTTGATTACCCACATTGACAAAAGCTATTATATAGAGTCCAGGCAATAATATACTTGAATCAATTGTAAACCAATCATGAAAATCTGAATTGGAAGTGATCCTATTGCTGTGTTCAAACAATCCTTCTAACCCAACTATCTCACTTCAAAAGCCTCAGAGGAATAAATAAGAGACTACAGAGTTATCAGGCTTAAATATCTTGAAGGGCAACAAAATTAAATCAGTATAATAGAATCATAGTTTATGCATTTTACCTGTATACATTCAAATAAGTTATGCTGACGACATTTCTGAAAATACCAGCGTATTATATTTATTTTTATATATTTATATAAATACATAAAACACACACACACACACACACACACACACACACATTCTTGAAAAGGAAAATTCTTATTGGTTTATGGATACAATGAGCATTATTTAAATTAGAAGTGGAGGGAGTTTTCGCCAGTATCTGTGTAACTTTATATTTTATGTTTTGCACTGTTAGAACATTGTCAGAGGTATAAAACAAGCATTGGTGAATTAGAGTGGGTAACATGCAGTGCATTCTATATGAAAGCTTGTATATTGGGGAGGTAGCTTTCTCCTTAATCCTTCATTCTTGAATAGCACATACCTCTAAAGGCTATGTTGGATTTCACCTGGAACAAAAGAGACCCTGAATCTATCAAAAGATATCTATACCTATTAGAGAGCAGATGTTACAAGAGAGCCAGTTCCCCATTTAAAGAATAGGATCACTCTGGAAAGCCCATTGAACTACGAATTCAATGTGGAGATGTAAAAAATGAATTGTGGCAAGTGGTGTCCATAATCCTCATTCTTTGCTAATATTGCTCCCGGTGTGAAATGATAGTAGGAGGAATATGTATTTGTTTATTCTTTATTTATTACTGTTATTTCAATAGCTATCCAGGGGTAGGCAACTTTTATGACTCTTTTATGACTCGTGGACTTCAACTCCCAGAATTCCTGAGCCAGCATGGCTCAGCTTGGAAACCTCTCCCTTTCCCCTCAGCATGGCTGGCTCAGGAATTCTGGGAGTTGAAGTCCACGAGTCATAAAAGAACCAAGGTTGCCTACCTCTAGCCTAGGCCTAGGCCGCTTTATGACTCGTGGACTTCAGCTCCCAGAATCCCTGAGCCAGCATGGCTCAGCTTGGAAACCTCTCCCTTTCCCCTCAGCATGGCTGGCTCAGGAATTCTGGGAGTTGAAGTCCACGAGTCATAAAAGAGCCATGGTTGCCTAGCCCTGAGCTAGGCCCAAAGCAGCCCACAAATAAATTGAAAATTTAATACCATGTCGAACAGCCCTTCCCCACTCTGCGTTTGACAGATAGGTTGGGTCTTCGTGCTCCCTAGAATTTCCTAATACATCTCTACCGTCTTAGGTGGGTAAAGGCTGAGATAAAAATATTAAAAATTATAAGGCCATAGTACAATCCAAACATATTTTTAATAGAGAGATGGGGAGGGGGAGAGGCCAATTAATATATATTACACAATAGAAGTATCTTCTGTCAGTGCCTCAGAAATCATAAAAATGATGGCAGTCAAGGCTCTCCTGGAAAAGTCTTCCAGAAATTGAGCAGTTTATTTGAAATACTTCAAGGGAGGCTCCCCCATGCCCTCCACATGTTTTTCACATGGTAGATCATTAAACGGTTTCTCCCACAACTTTCTCTTGGACGAAACCCAAAAGGGCCAGGGAAGCTGAGAAATTATTCCAAAGTATGTCTTCAGGAAATGGACATTTTAACTAAGAACTATCATAAAATATAGTGGTTTGCAGCATCAACGGCTGCTAAAAAGTCCAGGAGAATTAGAAACATCTCATTGTTGCAGTTCCTCTCAGCAAGCGTCTTTTGAGTGACCAAATATTTTCCATCCCCCCCCAAAGCCATTCTACAACAGGCGTGAAATAAATAAAAGATAATCATTTTTGTCCAAGAATGACAAAACTGATTGGCCCAAGGTAGCCTTTCTTTGGGAACTGTCACGCAATAGCTTCTTTTATGAATCTGAATGTAGGAAGTGAGGCATTTAATGACTTCTTAAACAGTGATGCTACCCCTTCTAGATTTAGTAAGCCATAAAAGCAAAGGTTAAGTACACAAACAATTGGGTGGATTTCAGTTTCCTAAAAATTACTCAATGATCCTGCCCAAGAATATCCAAGATGGCTCCCTTGACAATACTGCAGTGAGTGTAGAGTCAGGTATAAACATGAGAATCCACATCCTCCAATTTAAAATTAAAGGGATCCAGAGAAGGAACATTTCTTCTTTACTCCTTATCTTTTAGCCACCTACAATATAGTCACCAAAAACTCAGAAAAATCAGCTCACCTTTTCCCTTGCATAATATGGGATGTGGATAAGAACTCATAGGTGGCAAGCAAGAACATCCAATGTTCTTTGTATGTGCCGAAGCTACGCAGAAATAAAAGGATTCTTTAAGGTAAATAAGCCTCAAAGTTCTCTGAAAAGCTGCTTCTTTTCAGAACCGTGACATCAGGAGGAAATGGAAGAATAATAAGTTCTATAGAACTTATTGCCTCATGATCTAAGAATGATCTGAGATGTTCCACCACACTTAGCAAGGATGTGCTTCTTGGGAGGCCTAAGTGGAAATTTTGCTTACATGTGGGTTTAAGATGGAAGAGGTTATTAAAAAAAATAAAGTCAGGGAACATAAAACCAGAGGTGGGTAGGAGTAAATAATTGCGTAAATAATTAATAAAAATGTTTGAATAAATAATACATGATTTTCTATTATTTTTATAGTTTTAAACTTTTTAATCTTAAATTAATTCTGATTTTAATATTAGTTTTATCAGTTATATTGCACACCACCCAAATGTTCTCTATGAGGAAGATGAGCAGTTA